GCTAAGCCTTGTGGGAAGGCGGAGGGGGTCGCAGAGCATCCTGGGTCCTGTTGCAGTGATCCGTGATGCATTGCTTCACATTCCAGCAATCCCTGTGCTTCCGTCCACATTTGGTGCCATCTTTCAACGGTTTGTGTACTGCGCGCTCTGCCTCTTTCAGGCTGCAGGAATGGATCCCGAACCATAGACGCTGACTCCATGGGTGCTCTGGGGCTGGAGCACCCAGGGGAAAAATTTGTGGGTGCCCTGCACCCACTGGCAGCTCCCCGCCCGGCCCCCCACCCCAGCTCACCTCCACTCCACCTCCACCTCCTCCCCTGAACATACCACGGCTCCACTTCTCCCCCTCCCTCCCAGTGCTTCCCACCGCGAAACAGCTGTTTTGTGGTGGCAAGCACTGGGGAGGAGGGGGGAGGAGGGGGAAACGCGGCGGGCTCGGGGAAGAGGCGAGGAAGGGCCAGGGTGGAGATTTGGGGAAGGGGTCCAATAGGGGTAGGGAGGGGAAAGAGTTGGGGTGGGGACTATCGGGAAGGGGTTGGAATGGGGGTGGAGGCGTGGGCGGGGTGGAGGCGAGGTGGGGTGGGGGGCAAGCACCCACCAGCGCCTGGAAAAGTTGGCGCTTATGTCCCGAACTGCTGACCAGTAAGCTGCTCGCTCTGACCAACATGTCATGAGTGGCAGTGGAGTTATTCCTTAAACTACAAAGGCAAGAGGAGTGCAACATTGATCTCGCCAGGTGTAGTAGCTATGACACGAGATTGCTTGTGGGATTCACGGAGGTGCTGACCACAGTGGAACGCCGCTTTGGGGCTCAGGAAACAGGCACTGAGTGGTGGGATCACATCGTGATGCACATCTGGGACGATGAGCAGTGGCTGCAGAACTTTTGGATGAGGAAAGCCACATTCATGGCACTGTATGATGAGCTTGCCCCAGCCCTATGGCGCAAGGATACGAGAATGAGATCTGCCCTGCCATTGGAAAAGCGCATGGCAATTGCACTGTGGAAGCTGGCTACTCCAGACTGCTACCGATCGGTCACTAACCAGTTTGGAGTGGGAAAGTTGACCGTTGGACTTGTGTTTACGGAAGTGTGAAGGGCCCAGTTTTGATGGCAGCATTGCCGCCAACAGCAGTGGCACAAAAGTAAGGATAGCAATACCACAACCCCTGCCCCCCGCAATAACCTTGTGACCCCCCCACAACTCCTTTTTTGGTCAGGACCCCTAAAATTACAACACCATGAAATTTCAGATTTAAATAGCTGAAATGATGAATTATATGATTTTTAAAACCCCATGACTGTGAAATTGACCAAAATGGACCGTGAATTTGGTAGGACCCTATTTGTTGCCAGTACTGTGGTATTTAAGGATATAGAGGAATCAGAATGGTGAATTTTCAGCCCAGTGCAGGGATTTCAATATAAGTAGTGTGGGGCTAGTCTAAACTCCAAGTTCTGATGAATAGCCAGAAAAATGTTTTTGGAAACTCCTTCCCCTCCACCATTGATCAAATTTCTGTGCACAATAGAATATTTCGAATCTTAGAGTAAAATGTAATCACCACCAAAGATGATGAAAAATTGGTTAAACCAATAGATTAATTGCAATCAATATCCACAGTTCCTGTGTAATATGTATCCTTATACTATAATATACAAGGGCAGAACAGATTTTGCCATAAAAATATATTATCTAAAGTAAGAGAGGAGCAAGAGAGAACCCATCTTTTTTGTAGATTATTCACTTCTATAGGAACACTTAGTATGAGTAAGAATTACAGGATAGGGTCTTGTTAATTTAAAGATGAAACAAAATGTCTAAGAGCCAAAATGTCATAAGTTGCAACAAAGTGGGAAACTCCACTATCTATGGAAGCTGCATAAATGTCAAACCCCGTAGACAGATTCAATGGCTTTGCCTGCTGTTGCAGGAGCCTATGCTGAAAGCAGGTGTCTGCTATAGAATTCTGTAGGGCAGGGATAGTCCATAGGTGGACCATGGGCCAAATCAGGACCACCAGATGCTTTTGTACAGACTATGAAATCTTTTTATATACTTAATAATAAATAATGATAATATTTATGTTGTTGTTATTGTTGTTTTTATTATTTGCTCTGGAGTCTGGACCTTGACTGTACCTTGACCAAGAAATTTGGACCTTGACAAAAAATAATTAACTACCTCTGCAATAGGGCTATGTGTGGCATTTCAATAATACAACACAATTACTCTTACATTTTTTGTGTCTTTCTAATTTATATATTTGTTTTCAGTATTGGGTCTGATCATGCACAATCTCTGTTCGCAGTGGTTGTGCAGATTGGTCTTTTTATAGGAATCACCACTCTTGGACTTATTCTGGCTGTTGCATAGTAAAATATTGGGCAGAGCCCATCTATTTTGGGAGGGGTGGTTGAGTGTTTATCTAGCAAAGCAGTTTCACACTAGTTTCTCTTCCTCTCACTCAAGTCCACCAAATATCTTATCTGGTCCCACCCATCCAAGAATTCCAACGTTCCAGGCATGCCAGCATTCCTTGAAACACAATCCCTCCAGTGATAACTTGTTGCAATGCTTTTTGTTTATTACAGCTACTGCAAATCCTTTCATGTCTAATTGTGTAATTTGATCAAAATAAATCATGATTTGGCTGGATCTGTTCCTTTCATTTGTTCCTTGCAAACATCTGGAAGATGATAAGGTGATAAGTAACAGCATGGATTTGTCAAGAACAAATTGTGTCAAACCAACCTGATTGCTTTCTTTGATAGCATAACAAGCCTTGTGGATGGGGGGAAGCAGTAGACATGGTGTATCTTGACTTTAGTAAAACTTTTGATAGTGTCTCATGTGACCTTCTCGTAAACAAACTAGGGAAATGCAACCTAGATGGAGCTACTATAAAGTGGGTGCAAAACTGGTTGGAAAACTGTTCCCAGAGAGTTATCAGTGTTTCACAGTCACGCTGGAAGGGCATAATGAGAGGGGTCCTGTAGGGATCAGTTCTGGGTCTGGTTCCGTTCAATATTTTCATCAATGATTTAGATAATGGCATAGAGAGTACACTTATAAAGTTTGTGGACGATACCAAGCTGGGAGGGGTTGCAAGTGCTTTGGAGGATAGAATTAAAATTCAAAATGATCTGGACAAACTGGAGAAATGGCCTGAAGTAAATAGGATAAAATTCAATAGGGACAAATGCAAAGTACTCCACTTAGGAAGGAACAATCAGTTGCACACATACAAAATGGGAAATGACTGCTTAGGAAGGAGTACTGCGGAAAGGGATCTGGGGGTCATAGTGGACCACAAGCTAAATATGAGTCAACAGTGTAACACTGTTGCTAAAAAAATGAACATAATTCTGGGATGTATTAGAAGGAGTGTTGTAAGCAAGACATGAAGGTAATTCTTCCCAGGGCCGGCTCCAGGCACCAGCTTGCCAAGCAGGTGCTTGGGGCGGCCACTCCGGAGAGGGGCGGCACGTCCAGCTATTCGGCGGCAATTTGGCGGACAGTCCCTCACTCCCGCACGGAGCGAAAGACCTCCCACAGAATTGCCGCCGCAGATCGCGATCGCGGCTTTTTTTTTTTTTTTTGCGCCGCTTGGGGTGGCAAAAACCCTGGAGCCGGCCCTGATTCTTCCGCTCTATTCCACACTGACTAGGTCTCAACTGGAGTATTGTGTCCAGTTCTGGGCACCACATTTCAGGAAAGATGTGGACAAATTGGAGAAAGTCCAGAGAAGAGCCACAACAATGATCTAGAAAGGTCTAGAAAACATGACCTACGAGGAAAGATTGAAAAAAAAATTGGGTTTGTTTAGTCTAGAAAAGAGAAGACAGAGGAGACATAACAGTTTTCAAGTACATAAAAAGGTTGTTACAAAGAGGAGGGAGAAGAATTGTTCTTGTTAACCTCTGAGAATAGGACAAGAAGCAATGGGCTTACATTGCAGCAAGGGAGGTTTAGGTTGGACATTAGGAAAAACTTCCTGTCAGGGTGGTTAAGCACTGGAATAAATTGCCTAGGGAGGTTGTGGAATCTCCATCATTGTAGATTTTTAAGAGCAGGTTTGACAAACACATGTCAGGGATGGTCTAGATAATACTTAGTCCCGCCATGAGTGCAGGGGACTGAACTAGATGACCTTTCAAGGTCCCTTCCAGTCCTATGATTCAAAGCCATGGTGCTAATTGCTCAGGCTTCCATTATCTTTTAGGCACTTTCAGATGTGTGTTGCTCAGTTTGTCCTATTATTTTACTAGGGAATTAAGTTAGATTCAGGACAAATAACCAGGTGACTTGAAGTTTGGCTTTACAATGTATGAGGTTTCCCCAGTTCTCTCTACCTTTTAAAAATTAATTGCCAGTAGTTCAGAAAATTCATTAACAAATACCTTAAAGCCCCGGGATAAAATCTGAAACTACTGATTGTTTATATTTTTTCCAAAGTATTCTAGTACCTATTTTTAATAATTTTTACAGCATCTAATCCAATGCTTATTGAAGTCAATGGCAATGAGTGTTGGACTGGGTCCATACTGAGAAGGGACCAAATTGTGCTTGCATTGTCCACCAAAGTAATCTCATGAAGTCAAAGAGTTTTATTTACATGCGAAAAGTAAGCAGAATTTGGCCCAAGGTCTCAATCCCATTCTAATTGTCCAAACCCCTCTTGATTTTTATTTGCAGTAAATTTGGGTGTTTTTTTTTTTAAGATCCCAAACTTCAGTGTCTCAGCTATTAACAACTGTTATTTTTAACTAATAATTTCCTCTGCCTCCTTCCTCATTTACCCCTCCCCCCCCGCCCCGTAATAGACGTAAATATCTTCCTTATCCCCTTAATTCTTTGGATTCTTAACTTTGATTGTTATCTGGTCTTTCTTTGTTGCCTTCCATCAGAGGATCTCAAAGCACTTTGCAGACACTAATTAACTGTGACATAAGGATTTCAACACACCCGGAAATTGAAGCCCAGAGAAGTCGTGACTTGCCCAAAGTCACAGAACAAGTTTGTGGCAGAGTCTGGAAGAAAACATAGTGCTTCTTGTCAGACCCTTTTTCCGCTTGCTCGAGCTACTTTATTTGCCACCCTTATGTTTTACTGCTAGTGTTTGGAAAAACCTGCCAGTGAGGCTGTAAACTGGATTGTTCGGCAACTCTAAGCCACGCCCCCAGCCGCCCGTGATCGCTTCTCCCTGTTGGAGCAGAGCTCTGGGTGTAACTCAGGACAAAGCTACAGCAGTTCAGAGGAGTGAGGAGAAGCAGCCGGTCACATTCCAGTGACTTGGTGTTTTCACTCCTGTTTGTTTACCTCAAGGTTTGGGAAGGTCTCCCATGTTCCGTGCTGTGCTGCTGAGCCGGGTGTCACCCCGCATGTTCCCACTTCTGGCTGCTGTGCTATTCCAGAGGAAAGAGAGGAAGAACACCGGGCTCTCTCACTGGCAGGTAATGTAAACTTTTGCCCTTCCTTTGTGTCATCACCCACATGATAAAGAAGCAACTAAAAGTTATGAAACATGCATAAAAGCAACCCTAAAACCGGGTGAGCACAGCCTTTGTCACGTGTGGGAGAAGCTACCTAAGGCTGGGTTTGGATAGCGAAGGTGAGGAAATGCTTTTGCAAATCTCATCCATAGTCTATTTTGTCTATAAAGAAGCAGAGCAATTCTGTGCCACATTAACTATTTACAGGTGAAATGTTGCTGTTGAGAATTAGAGGTGCACAGATGCTGTCCCTTCGGTTTATTTAGATTCAAACCCACTGAGTTTCACTTAGCGGTTTCAAGCTCATCCAAACGCAGATAGCAAACCTGGCAATTTTCTGTGCTTGTTACGCTTAGCAATTCACTGAGCCAGAAGACCGGTCGTGGACCCGTCCATTGTGTTTTGTTATGAAACTCATTCCCTCCAAAAATGTGCTTATCCAGAGGCAGATTGAAAAGATGTAAGATTTGCAGGACCTGAAATTGCCTCAAACAAAAGTGATGATTTAATCTTTAGGTTTGAATCCAAATGAAGCAGAGTTAAGGTTGGTATGTGCTTTGAAAATTGATTTTTTTTAATTCAGCACTAGTGAGAATCATTTTGGGGTGAAAATTGTTCAAGAGCCTACAAAAGGCTACTCCACTGTGTGTGTGAAGGGGGTCTCTGCATTGAACCCATATAAAATGGGGAAGGCAAGGAGTTCTGCACTGTGTTATAGACAGAACCACTAGATTTGTAGCTGTGTTAATCCAGTGGCTGGGAAGCCCCTCTTAGGGGTCTGCAGAAGAGCTCCAGCAGATATTCCAGCCCACAGATGGACAAGTGGCATCCAGTTCTTAGTGGGGGGCGGGAAAGAGAATTCCATCCTAGGCAATGTGAAGTCCCCTACAAAAAAGGGCCACTCATTCAGGGAAGTACATTTCACCTAGGGTGCAATATGCCTAATATGGAGAAAGGGCACATGGGCTATAAACTCAATTCCAAGAGCTGTCTCACACTTGAATCTGTTGCACAAACACTCATTCCTCATATAGAACAGCTGCTCTGCTAGGAACCAGCTACTCTTCCGGCCCTGCCTGTCTCGCCCCTGGGACTCAGGTAGTGCAAACTTGGTGATGTCGCATTTAATTTCTGGGTTTACTGTGCATGCTTATCTTGTAATGTGTTATGACACCGCCTGGTTTCTGATGAAATAAAACTGCATTAGACTCAGAAAGGTGCCAGTTTACTTAAAAGCATGGGACTTGGAACAGACTTAGCTCTCATAGCTGGCAGAGATCTTTGCTATGCTCCTGAGTCTTTAATTTATGTTGTGGAAGTTCCTCTGTTTGGAGAATGTTGATTCAGCTGAGTGGCTGTTGTTGACAAACATCTTTTCTCAGAGGCTCTTGGAGAGGATCATTCTCATTGGGATTGCAACACATGGATGTACATTGACATCCTTCAGAGTGAAGTGAAGGAGTGGGATGGGTGCTGGTGTTGTGTGATCTCCCAGATGTCAATATTATGGAACCTTGTGTCTCAAGTCAGGAGAGTTCAGTCACTCATGATGGCAGGCATTTTTGCAACCAAATCCTTACTGCATTTAACAGCCTACAGGGCAGTAGCAATTTTCCACCAGGGAGGAAGGAAAAATAACCTTACATACAGCCGTGTATCTCATTCCTTAAACTTGTAGACCAAGTATTGGGAAGATAGAGAGGCGGATGGTTTAGGTTGAGAGGTTAGTTTGGGATACTGAAAGAAGAAAAACCTATTAAGAAAAGCTTCAAAAACAAAATGTGTTTAACCTGGCAGAGGGGAGAAGAAGATCTAATTATGGCTCTGATGTATATTACACTAAAAAGAAAATTATAAGAATGTTAAGGTTACAAAGACAAATACTCAAAACTTAGGAAATGTCACTACTAACATTGTCTGTGCAACCTTAGTTTACTCCCCTTGTTTGCATGCATTGCAATAGTCTTTAATTACATGATCACTTAGTATATTTCCACTGGACCCCTGCCTCATTCAGTGCACTGAATATTTTGTTTTATCTTCATAGTTCAGTATTTGTCCCATTCAAACCCTGCTCTGAAGACAGAATTATTAATTTCCTGATAGGCTTTTCTATGATGCTCGTCACTATAGTATCTGAGTGCTTCACAAACAACTTATTTTCACAACACCCTTGTGAGGTAAGCTGGGGGAGGAATCTTATCCTTAGTGCCCATCTGTAAAATGGGGATATGTCTACACTAACCAAAAAAAAAAAAAAAAAAAAAATCCATGGCAGCGAGTCTCAGAACCCAAGCCAACTGACTTGTAGTCAATATAGCAATGTAGCTCAAGTGTTCTGTACAAATTAATGGGACATGCTAAGTTAGGAGGAAGGTTTTAAAAATTAACATATCTAATTTATAGCTCAGCAGTAATAGGGTTAATTAACCTATTTGAAACTGAGCTGTAACAACAGTGAGCCCTAAAGAGTTCTTCTTTCTTCTATGACTCTCAGTTTGACCCTAAAAAAGATCACTTTTACCTGTGGTGAGATGAGAATTCATTTAATTCTCAGCCTCCCTTCACTGAGGTGCTCTGTCTCTGTCCTTCACCCACCTTATTCAGAGATACCACCTTATGTCTTCACTTTCTCAATTTCTGATAGTTCTTATATTTCAAAACTGAGATTTACCTATCGTGGACCCTGTGCGGGTTGTTCCACGTCATTCCCTTATCTTGATATTTGCATGTTTGTGGAAGGTGTGCTGAGGCTGAGTTTAACACAGAACCTGCTTGTCTTTACAGCGTGAGAAGCATCCTTACTACAACCTCACAGTAAAAGTCCTCAGAGCCAGAAACATCCAGGGTACAGATCTGTGTAAGTACTTGACCAATGTTGTGCAGACTCATGTTTTACACAATGCACAACTGTAGTATAGCCCGGATTTCCTCTGGTTGATGTAACACTGCATTCCCACAGCTTGCGTGTTTTTCTAAAATATCTGCTCTAGGAATTGCTTGGGGGAAGTTCTCTGGCCTGTGTTACACAGGAGGTCAGACTAGGTGATGACAATGGTCACTTCTGACCTGGGAATCTATGAATCGGTCATTTTCAGTATATATTTACATAAAACTTTTTCCTACTAAAATGTATTTATATATTTTCAAGGACTGAAATAGAGCCAGGATTCAAATTAGTACCTCTTATGTTTCTGCTCCCTGTGCACATCCAGCCATGGCCTTCACTGTGTTCTTTCACACAGTCTCACCACAGTGCAACTCTTGCCTTCCTGCAACTATCTGCATCAACTCTCCGTCTTAGTTCGAGCCTCTATACATCTGTCTTCTCCCTGGACTACAATCCCCCTTTTCTTTCTCCCTTTGTTATGCTTACTGTTTAACTCTGTAAAGCCTTTGGGGACACAATGTGCATGAATGATGCTAAAAGTAAAGCTGTTTTGTGCCCTCCCATCCATTTTTGTTTACTTTTTCCTTTCCCTTTTTTAATATTTGCTTTTACAGCCCCATGACTTTTAAAATCCCCTTAGCCATTTTGGGTTTACTGTGTTTTCTTAATTAGTATGGATTTTGAGATTGAGGTAGTCTGTTTTAGATTCATATATATAACATCCAATACTAAATTTATTTAAATATTGAGTATCTATACAGCTAAAGCTACGATAATGCTGAAGTGCTGGATTCTGTAATAACACCATATGTTGGTAGTCCATCACTGGTGATGATGATATTGTCGCAATTCTCATATATGGCTACGCATATGACTCCGCAGTCCGAATCCTGATGCACAGAATCAGCTGCACTGAGGGCATGGGAAGTCTGAATCTCTATTATTTGATGATGCAGCTCTGTGGCACCTTTCACGTGCAGCCTGGAGATAATTTCATCGATCCCGCTCAAACTTATCATAGCTGATCTTGTCAGAGACCTCCAATGAGCCTGTTCTGAGCCATTTGCTCAAGTTCTTTGAGTTTGATGCCAGCCCACTGGAGTCTGCTCTTCAGATTATCTTTGAAGCGCTTATATGGACAACCCTTCTTTCTTTGGCCCTGACTCAACTCCCCATACAAAATCTGTTTTGGGAGAGGTGGTCTTCCATTCTGATGACATGCCCAGTCCACCTAATAACATTTCCTCATTGCTGGTTATGTTTGCTCTCTCAAGGACCTTAATATTGGTCACTCTGTTCTAACAGTGAATGCTCATTATTGAGCGAGGGTCACATGTTTAATGTGATGTCTGTAAAGCTATGAATCTGTCTCTGATCCATGTAGGAGAGACGTTAGAACCACTGCGCTGTAGATCTTCAATTTGGTGGAGAGATGGATGTTGTGTTGATTAACAACTGTTGTTCGAAGTCGGACAAGGGCCTGGCTGGCTTTACTAATTCTAGAGGAAATTTCCTTATCAAGGGAACCATCACTTGAACTGGTACTGCCCAGATACTTAAACTGATCCACATTTTTCAACTGTGTGCCTTGGATGAAGATGGCTGGCATTGGGGCATCGGAATGAGGTGCTGGTTGGAACAAGACCTCTGTCTTCCAAGACTGATGGTGAGGCCAAAGAGCTGGGATGCTTCAGGAAATCTATCAACGTTGACCTGAAGGTCGTCTTGTCTATGAGCCATCAAGGCACAGTCATCTGCAAAAAGTGCCTCAATGAGAAGCCTCTCCAGTGTCTTGGTCTTAGCAGTGAGTCTTCGAAGATCAAAGAGGGAGCTATCAAGTCAGTAGCGGGATGTATATTCCCCTGATCCAAGTCCCTTGTTGCATGGTTGAGAACACAAGCAAAGAACAAGTTGAACAGCACTGGAGCAAGTATGCAGCCTTGCTTCACTCCATTCGAGATTTCAAATGCTTCGTAAAAGTCACCACTTGCGAGGACTTGTACTGTCATGTGGACATTGAACAGACAGATGATTTGTATGAATCTTCTTGGGCAGCCCAGTTTATGTAGAATAGCCCATAGACCCTCTGTGTTGACCGAATCAAAAACTTTGGTCAAATCGATTGAAAACTGCATACAGGTCCGTGTTCTGCTCTAAACATTTTTCCTAGACCTGCCTTACAACAAATATCATATCCATAGTGCTATGACCTGGTCTAAAACTACACTGCGCTTCTGGTAGATTCTCCTCAGATATGTCTGCTATGAGTCTGTTCAGTAGAATGCGAGCTAGTATTTTGCCTGCTGTACAGAGGACAGCAATGACTTTAGTTTCCGCAGTCAGCTTTGATGCCTTTGTTTTTGAACAGTGATATGATAATAGCATCTTTGAAGTCTTGTGGCATTTCTTCTTCCTCCCAAATGCTACTCAGGATGTCATGAAACACCTCGATAGCCTTTGGGCCTGCTCCTTTATACAATTCTGCTGGGATACTATCCTTTCCAGATGCTTTGCCAGAGTTCAGTTGTTTGATGGCTTTTATAACTTCCTCAACTGATGGAGGGAGTTCGAGATCCTCTTTGATGGGTTTCTCAGGTAAATGGTCAAGGACGCGTCGATCGACTGTGGATGGTCTGTTGAGTAGACTACTGAAGTGTTCAGCCCATCTCTGTATGATTCTCTCTTTGTCTTTGACAAGTCCTTATTATGATTGTTTGTTGAAGTGGATCGAATCAGCCATCCAAAATTATTTGATTTCATTGGGGAAGGGGTGGAGCCTGGCTGGGGTGTATTCTGGCTGGAGGACTAGAACTGTTCCCTTTTGGGGATGGGAAAAGGGGGAAGTCCCACATCCTTAAACAGTTTCTATGGGAACATGAAGCTATCTGGGAGTGCCCTGCTGTGGAGGATAAACCACAGGATGAAGGCAGATGGCAGTTGTGTAGGTTTGGTGAGGCAGTATAGTGGTAAAAGAATTAGTCCTCCAAATCTTCAGTTTAATATCGCTTGTATTTCATTGAAGCTCCATTGTTTGATGTTGTACCTTGGCTAGTTGCACAGTCCTGAAAGTGAAGCCATTACAGTGAAATAAGGACATTAACAAAAAGCATTTCAGATGAAAGCAAGCTGCAGGGTTTAATAGGCCAAGATGTGACTCATGTAGAACAGGCCTGAAGAGAATTTTACTCCAGGCTGGATTATGTGGGAATTTAAAGAAAATATATTGCCTGAACAAAGCAACAGAGGGTCCTGTGGCACCTTTGAGACTAACAGAAGTACTGGGAGCATAAGCTTTCGTGAGGTAAGAACCTCACTTCTTCAGAGCAAGCTTATGCTCCCAGTACTTCTGTTAGTCTCAAAGGTGCCACAGGACCCTCTGTTGCCTTTTACAGATTCAGACTAACACGGCTACCCCTCTGATACTTGCCTGAACAAGTTTCTTTCTATGCTGCATCCTGTTTTCAGGGATACCTGGAAAAAATCTGTAGGTCCTCATGGCTTAATATATGTTAAGAAGACATTTAAGACAGTTGTGAGGGTATCTAATCTAGATTATGACCCACTGAGTTCTATCACATGAGCTTTCCAGCTCTTAGTAGTGTGTGTCTCTGCCAGAATTCACAAACCTATGAAATCCTGATTGTGAATGCAGGACTAGATCACATGCTTGGATCTAAGTGTCAGAATTTCCTGTCATGTAGGTACTTTATGGAAGAGATTTCCTAATGTTTCGATGGTTTCTCTGGAAGAGATTTCCTAACATTTCCCAATTAAAAGGAACACATAGGATCTAACTTGTTTGGAATATCCTCTGAACTCAGCACTAGTGTCTTTATGCAGTCTTTATGGTCTGTGTTAGGGAGAACAGAAAACCTATGCATGTTACACAACCTGAGTGTTGCACTTTACCTTAGTACACTAGAATTAGATTTATTCTAGTGCCCGTATTCTGATACTCTTGTTGCACTCAGAAACGTGGTTTGATTTTTTTTGCATTAGGCTTCTGGGGCATGGATCCCACTGCACATGAAAGCAAGGTGTTCTGTTCATGGTATAAGCTAATATACTTAAAGAATGGCAGAGTGAGATCTTTCCCTCTACTGTCCAAATAGCAGTAAAATAATTTCAGAAGAAGAAACCTCTTTGGAGCACTAGCCCTTTTCCCAGCAGTGTCCCTTTGAAGAAGGGGGTTTAACACTGGGACATACCTGAAAAATGCACTATTTCTGTGAAAAGAAATTCAATTTGCTGCTGTTGAAAATATTTGTGTCTTAATGAGAATACTCTCCCAGCCAGTCCAGCTGTTTTTTTCTGATTAATTCTGCACAATCCTGTGACATGATAGAATATAGAAAGCAATGACACATACCTGATTAGAATTATTCTGATACCATTCTTCTGTACTTTTCATTCCAGTGTCCAAGGCAGACTGCTTTGTGAAATTGCGTCTACCAACTGCATCTCCAGTCAGTTATCGAACTCAGGTTGTTGACAACTCCAGTAATCCAGAGTGGAATGAAACCTTCCAGTACAGAATCCACAGTGCTGTCAAGGTGAGGGAGAGCCTTTTGATATGGAGAAGATCAGATTATCTGGTGCTCCAGGGGTGGCAGGATCTTGAATTTAAAAAAAATCAAAGGATCTTTATTACAGAAGAAAGTCATTTCACGTAAAATGTCTCATATGAGCCTGCAGGTGCCCTTTGCTCGCAACACCCAAACATGTTCCCCAAGTCCCTGCATAGTCACCAAAAGAGCTGATTTATAACTGCTCACACCCTTGAAAATCACAGCTAAGGGGAGAGAAGGATTTTGTTTTCTCTAGTACCGTCTGATGCATTTTGGGAGAAAAGAGTATTATTGTAGTGTCTTAGAGCCCCGGTCATGGACCAGGACCCCATTGTGCTAGGCACTATACAACCACAGAACAAAAAGAGTTCCTGTCCCAAAGAGCTTATAATCAAAGCATAAATCAAGAGAAAATAGATGAATACAGACAGACCAGGGAATATAAGGAAACAATGAGACAATATTGGTCACCATCATAGACTGTGATCAAGCAATCTGATATTGGCCCCATAAAGTTTCGGGAAATTCCTTGATAATGCAGGTAAACTTTCCTGGGCTATTCATTCTCCCACCCTGGGGCTATTGTCTTCTCATGGTTGTATTTGCCCTAATGTCCTAGTCATTAGGGTAATATCACTGTGTGGGCAAGAATGCTGGGATCAACTAAATTCAAATAAGTTTGTGATATATGAGTTGACTGTGAGTTTGTTTTACTGTCTGCAATAATTCCAATATTACAGAAATACAGAATTAAGTCATGAGAGGAGAGAGAGTAAATTTGTCACATATTGACAAAGCTGGACAGTAGTGTAGCATGAATGATGAAAACTTTTCAAATTCTGTCTGCAACAGTGCTCTATGTTGACACTAGTGATAGATAAATAAGGATATTATTTTTTAAAAGATGATGGCATCTCTTTATTTAAAAAAAAAAAAAGCCCCACCAAAACCCTCTCTGCAGAAATTAGTTAACAGATACTGATTCCCAGCTGGCCCAGGTTTGTGTCATGGTTGTTTGTGGCTGCTGGGAGCGTGAGTTGGGTTGATAAATGACTCTGACAAGTAGGCAGAAAGTTACAAACAGGTAGGAGTTAGATTACCAAAATAAAAGCAATAAAATAACAAAGAGCTTTATATTCCCCTTAATTCATGAGGACACTTAAATTCTGGCTGCTACTGCTAAGGCTACGCCGGAGCATTTCTGTAGTTTAGCAGTCTCCTTGAAACATGACGCTAATGCACAGGCCATTTATAGGCAACTGTACTTTGTGTACTAGTGCACCTGTCTGTTAATCCCAGCTGGGCTTGCCTCTGCCCAGTAGCAGTGATGATCAGGAAGTTATTGGTTGCTCCTGAATCACCCTGAAAGGGAGGAAACTGCTATCCTTTCCTCAGGCAAACCAGTGCTGAGTTAAGAAGAAATTCCAAACAAGTTGGGTTCTGTGTGTTCCTTTTAACTGGGAAACATTAGGAAACCTCTTCCAGAGGAACCATCAAAACATTAGGAAATCTCTTCCAGAAAAAACATCCCAAGTACGGGCTAACAAGCCCACATCCTCCACTGTGTCATGAGCTCTTTGGAACAGGGCAAATTCTACAAATGGGGAAAGATAAAATTGTTGCAGAAGGACTCTTAATTTTTCAGGCCTCTAAAAGGGTGTATTATAAACAATAGAGAGTAAAACAAATAGCAATACTAAGTAATTTATAACACTTTCATCCATCAACTTGCTTTTGTTAACATGAATATGGCCCTTTGTTTATCAGCTATGTGTACACACACACACACACACACACACACACACACACACACACACACACACACACACACACACACACACA